CAAGACGCCACAGTCGTCAGGTTAAGTCGTGGCGTTGGAATCCCGAGAACAGTGCTTTGGCACGCTTCAGAATATTCCAGCGGTTGCCTCCCAACGGGGCTCTTCCCTCAGTGGAAGCGAACCCTTGTAGGGGCCTATGAAGAGGGAGCTTGGAGGGAGGGATTATTCCAACATCGTTGATGCATCTTGGGTTTGCACTGGTCCTCCTCCTCCTCCTCTTCCTCCTCCTCTTCCTCCTTTTCCTCCTCCTCCTCCTCCTCCTCCTCCTCATCATCATCATCATCATCATCATCATCATCCTCCTCCTCTCTTTGTCCTCCCTCTCCTCCGCGTCTTCTTTCTCCCCCGCGTGCTCCCCGAAGGGTTTCCACAAGGGCTGAGGGACCACATGGTCCGATAGCTTGGCAGAGCTCTGGCCACAACGTTCGGCCACATGGGCGACTCCAAAAGGCAGGTGCGTCGGTGATTCGCCGTAGGTGTTTTCGATATGAGTAAGTCGCAGTGTGAATGGGTCGGAGCATAATTGGGTCTGACTGTGAGTGGAAATGAGTATGAGTGGGTCTGAGTACAAATGGGTTTTAACTGAGCCTGAGTGAGACTGAATATGAGCGCTCTGAATATGAATGCGTCTGAGCACGAGAAAGTTTGAGTATGAACAAACCTCAACGTGAGTGAGTCTGACAATGAGCGGTCCGAGTATGAGCGCGTCTGAGTGTGAGTGGGTCTGAGAATGAGTGGGTCTGAGTGCGAGCGCATCTGTGTATGAATGGGTCTGAACTGAATGAGTTTTAGTCGGGGGGTGCGTCTGCGTGTGGAAGGGTCAGATTATGCGTAACCTGGCATGGTATGAGGGACGATGGCACAAGGTGAGAGAGGCGGGGTCACACGAATAAGAAGAACCCCACCCATCCTCAAGGTGTGGTGGGGGGTCACGACGACAACGTGTGGCCTCCATAGGGGCCCCAGACAAGCCCCGGGACCGTCAGAAGCGACTCGGGGTGCAAAGCCAGTCCCGAGGCAACAGTGGGTCGAGACATCCAGGGGTCCGCGCTGCGAAGAAATCTCGACGTCGGGGGTCTGGGCTCTGGGCGGCGCGCGGCGCAGGGGGGGGAGGGGCAGGATCCGATCGGGGGGCGGCCCGCCCAGGGGGTCCTCTCGCGAGCCCTCCAGCCCTCCACGGGAGTCCCCGACCACGGCCGGGGCCGAGCCCGAGCCCCAGCCGATGCCCGAGCACGCCCCCGCCGCAGCTGGGGCCGCAGCCGCAGCCGCAGCCCCAGGCGCAGCCGCAGCCTGAGACGCAGCCCCTGGCTGCAGCCCGAGCTGCAGCCCGAGCGCAGAAGGGCCCCCCTGCCCCATTCGAGGGCCGCCCACCCGATCGCCCTGCGCCCCCCCTGCGCGCGGCCGAGGTCTGCGGCGGGGGCAGCGGCGGGGGCGGCCGAGGCGGCGAGGTGGTCGGACACCCCGTGCCGCGCCGGTCACAACAGAAGGCCCTCTTCTCCAGGCCCCAGTCCGTCGGATCTCCCATGTCGCAGTTGTATGGTGGCGAGGTCGTGGAGCGAGGCGGGGTCGCGAGGGAGGGCCTGACGGTTGTGGTCGTGGCGGCGCTCGCGAGGTTCTGCCAGGTCGTCCAGAAGAGGAGGGGCAGCATCAGGAGCACCAGCGAGAGCGGGAGGATGACCCCGAGGCAGCAGGTGCGGCCGCGCGCGACCTGCAGGGGGACGGCCTCCCCAGCGCCGCCGCCCACGTACCGGTAGGCTGCCCGCTGCGCGCAATCGCCACTGGGAACGACGTACACTGGCGCCGGCACGCTCTCGCCGCAGCAGCTGCCACGTGCACACAGCGCCGAGCAGCCGTCCTCCTCGGTCGCCACGATTGCGTAGCGTGGTCCGTGGGCAGCGTCTGCGAAGCCGCCACCGAAGTAGCCCCCGTAGCTCCCATAGCCCCCTGCCCCGTAAGGCCCACAGCCCCGCGCCACGATCATGCGGCACCCGCAGCGCGGTGCAGGGCGGCCATTTGGCCACAAACGGCTCGAGCCGTGGCGGACCACCACGTCGACGCCGGCGGCGGCGACGGCGGGACAGCGGCGGCAGCGACAGCGGCAGGCACGCATCCCCTCGTGCGGATCGTGGCCCGTGCGGGTCGTGGCCCACGGGGAGTTCCGACGTCGGTCTCAGCGGAGAGGCAGAGAGCTCCAGCTTCCTCCCTGCCGCGGCGCGCAGTACACGACGCGCTACACACGGCTGCAAAGGTTCGACCCTTCTCTTGGCGAATTGCCAACTGGAATGTGCTTTGGACGTCAAAATCATCGAATTCTCTGAGCATGATTTGGAAACCCACGCTTGTCTAAACGTCACACCACTGTCTGTTATTCCAAGATGGTGTCTGTTGCAATTCGCTGCGAAGTCAGCCTCCTAAAGAGTCCCATCCAACCTTCGCTCGGCATTCATAGCATTGACCACCATATCATTTCGCCATGGTTGCGTTAACTTATGGTCGTTGATCCGCTTTGGTCTGGACGCAATGCAAGGCACAGTCAACACACATGCATTCGGTCATCTGGAGTGCGCTGGACGACTGCGTTGAGCCTGCTCCAATCGGTGTCCCGAAAACGCCCACCTCACCTACAGCCTCAACACACCCGAGGAACCAGTCCTAACACGACGGACTCGACTCATTAGCGATCTGGACTGTTCGGCAGTAGTGTCTTTAACGCAATCCGTGCCCGTGAATGCCGGGTCGAGTAAGTGCATGGCACGGCTACGCGCACGAACGAACTGCCTCGGTCCCGTGCTGGCGACTGCTGATCGCAGTGCTTCCCCAAACGGCGGCTCACAAAAAGAGAAGCGCAAGCACGAGTTGGGATGACCACCGAAATCTCTCATCAACGCTACCCCATGACCCTCCACTCTGCGTAGCATGCTCGTGGGCACAACCTGCTGCACCGTCAGTCTCACTGGTAAGCAGCCTATGCCAAGTTCTACTCAGGCATGGCATTGCACCCCGCTCTTCCTCCCCTACCAACTCCTGCTCCTCCTCCTCCTCCTCCTCCTCCTCCTCCTCCTCCTCCTCCTCCTCCTCCTCCTCCTCCTCCTCCTCCTCCTCCTCCTCGTCCTGCTCCTCCTGCTCCTCCTGCTCCTCCTGCTCCTCCTGCTCCTCCTGCTCCTCCTGCTCCTC